CATAAGTCATGGTTCCGGAATAGTGAGTATTGTCTCATGCAACTGGAAGATTGGATTCCTATATCGATATAGAAAACACATATCTAAAAACATAACGATGTATTAGTGTATTTATAAATGTGACCAACCGAAATGCGTAACACATGTTAACATGAAGTAGAAAATGACGACAAAAATATCTGCATAAATATAGAAAATGATCGGTTTTAGTTTTAATTGGATTAAACTATATCATATCATAATTATCTTAGCGAAGTATGTGTTAACAAATGAGTGATTTGGCATCTTTTATTAGCTTTATGTTAATCAACAAACTTTTTAAATTAGATGAAGCAGTATAAATTCGTTTGCAGAATATTTCTGGCCTCTTTTAAAGCGGCTACAACATTTAATGATCTTTTGATAACTATGAACAGTTGTTGCTCTAGTCTGTCAATGGTTAAACAAGCTTTACACAGTCAATTAATCAACCTAGTCCATGGAACGTTTCGAGTTAGTTACATTGCCTATGTCAGTCATTGATATTTGAGCTGTGGTATTGTGCAGTCGTTCTGGCCATTACATACAAATATAAGTATATTCATTTTTTTGCCAATTTGAGTGACATTTCATGGCAGCGATTTTTTAATTGTTTTGACCCCAATCATGGAGCCTACTTGGTATTTCATCAAATATTTTAAAATGTTTTCACAAAACATCTTTAAGTCAAGCAGCATGTAAATACTCAAAATATATAAGGAAACATGGCGCATGCTATAAACCTATCACTTCGGAAAAGCTTGGGTAAATGAAGAAATATATTCACAAACATATCGTGATCTACTACTCGAATTTGATAGCAGTGGAAAACTCCATACGAGGCTGTATGACAAGCGTGACGATTTTAATTTTCCTATTCTGAACTCTCCATATATCGATAGCAACATTCCTACATCATCAGTTTATGGAGTTTATATTTCTCAGCTTCTGCGTTACTCGAGAGCATGTTCTAGGTATTCAGATTTCCTGGCCAGATTTCGGCTATTGACTGCCAAGTTGATAAGACAAGGGTTCCAGGTTCCTCTACTTAAACGCGCATTTAAGAAGTTTTTTTGGACACCATCATGAATTTGGTTGCTTCCTATGACTTAACATTTTGTATCGTCTGCAAAATAAAACATAACATATGTACATTATTTAGCTCAAATTTGTAACAAAAATTTCTTCTGACACAATCTTAAACAACCATGCCATTATTAACTTGGAAAACTGGCGGTCTGGCTGAGTGTGGCAACCAACCTACAAAATACCTTCCAATACCTGTCCCACCATACTTCACCGGCTTATCCACACTCTGGACATCTCGGCTTGCAGACGCATCAAGCACCTCACATCTAGTAGCTTTTACCCATTCACCAAAACGATCTGGTGGGTTCCGACTAC